CCGCAGCCTCGCCCGGCCGTGCGCGCCTCTGGGTGCCCCCCTGAACCCCCCCGGCCGCTGCGCGCCCCCGGAGCGGAGACATGGCCCCCATCGGACTCAAGGCTGTGGTGGGAGAAAGTAAGATCCGCGCCCCTCCGCGGGGTTCGGGGGGCAGCGCGGGGAAGCGGCGGGGGCGGGGGGTCGGAGCGGCCCGGCTGCCCCGGCCGGGGGTGGGGGGGATGCTGCGGATGCGCAATACGGACCCGCGGGGGGGGGCGCGGCGACACGGGACACCGCCGTGGGGACACGCTGGCGTTGTGGGCTGGCGGGGTCGGGGCTGCTGTCACCTTCCGCGCTTTATTGGATTTATATTTGCGGGTCTTGGGGGGTTTTCTGCAGTGCTTGGCGAGGGGGGGGGATTGGTGACGGTGGAAAAGCGGCGGGGGGGGGACAGGGAAGCCAGAACGCCCGAGCCCCCATCGTTTTTATCCCCCGCCGACCCCCGTGGGCCCCAATCTCCCAAAGGACCGAGGGGCCTCCTCCTTAAGGGGGGGTGAACCCCGGTGGGGGGGCTCAGAGGGGCGCAGACCCCCCCAAACCCTCCCCCAGCGCAGTGCCAGGCCGGGCCCTCCCGCTTTGTCTGCAGCAAATCCCGCTCAAACGTTGGGTTTTATTTCATTATTATTATTCTCATTATTATTATTATTCCCCCGGCTGTGCCTTTGCTCCCCCAATCCGGGGGTGTCCGCACGTGTGTCCCCCCGCTCCCCGGGCATCCCTTGCCCGCGGGGGTCCCGGGATTATTCCCGGGAATATTCCCGGGAGCCGCGGGCGGGGGCACGGCACGATCGTCCCCGGCTCCGCTTCCTCCTTCCCGGCTGTTGCAAGGCGATATTTTCCCGGGGGGGAAACGAGGGGGGGTGGGGGTTTCTCCAAAACACCCGAGGCTGGACGAGGAAGGAGGGGCGCTCCTTTCCCCGGGGCGAAATTAAGGCGAAAAAAACCCTCCGCATTATTTGAAAAAAATAGTGAGAAAATGAAAGGGCAGGAACCGGTGGGAACTTCCCCCCGCAGCCATGAGCCTTCCTCCTCCTCCTCCTCCTCCTCCTCCTCCTCCTCCCCGCCTCTCGCAGGGTTTATTTCCGTGGCACCGTGGCCGGCCGCGGCCGGGTCTGGGTGTTTTTTTGGCATTTTTTTACGCTTTTCGGGGTGTTTTTGGCGTGCCGTCCGTGCCCGTGGCCGTCCCCCCGCCCTCCCGCGCCCGCTGCAGATGGCGCGGCCGGGGCTGGTGGTGTGATCGGGTGGGTGGTGATGGCGAGGGGGGGAAAACGGGGGGATTCCCGTGGATCCATGGCCCTGCTGCCTTCCCAGTGCGATGATGGGGGGCTGCGCCATCCCCCCGCCCACCCCGGGGTGCTGCGGCGGGCAGACAGAGCCCAAAATGGAAGGGGAGAGGCAGGGAAATGTCCCGGTGTTTCTCTGCTGCAGGATCAGCGCTGGGGAGGGGGGGATTGGCTCGGGTGCTTTGCTGGGGTTTGTTTTGGGGGGGCTGGTGGCGGAATGGGGACAGGGYCGGGTGCAGGAAAAGGGGGGATGGACCCTCCACCCACGCAGCCACCCCCTGGCAGGGCCACATGCGGTGCCCTCGCCAGAGAGGGGACAGAGCCCAGCGCCACTGCGTGTCCCTTGTGCCATTCATTGTCTCTGCGCCGGAATAGGCTGGCAGRGAGCACAGACACACACACAGACACGCACAGGGGTCGAGGCAGCAGCGGGGGAATCTGACTCAATCCTCCCCTTCAGGGTTTAGTGACAAACCGCTCCGTTCCTCCCCTAAAAAMACATCATTCCAGACTGAAAATGATAATTCGGAGCCGGGCAGCAGCGCCGGAGCGGGGCTGGCGGGGGAGCGTGGGTGGCTGCGAGGGGGGAGCGGGGTTTGTGCAGGCAAAATGCTGCAGAGGAGCGAGGGGTGGCAGCCRGGGGGGCACCCTGGGGTCCAGCTCTCCCTCCCCACGGGGATTGGGGTGCTCCTGATGCTGTCACAGCCATCTCCTGGGCTCGGTGCATCAGTGCCTGCCTTGGGGGGCTGTTTCCAGGWGGAGCTGCCCCCCCAGAGCTGGGAGCAGCCTGCAGGGTCTGCCCGGTCCCTCTGTCCCTGGCACGGGATTCCCTGGCTGTGCCAGCCTGCCCTGGGGCTGCGCTCCCTGGAGGTTTTCCTGCAGGAAAACCTTTGCTCCTGAGGAGTGAGAGGGCCGAGCCTGGGGCTGACCCCGAGGCCAGACATGGCAGGGAGGATGAGGAGGATGGGGAGGATGCTGCCGCGTTGCCATGGCTCGCTCCRCCAGCCCCCCCTCCCGAGCTGCATTCTGCCCTGGCTTCCCTCCAAACCCGGATTATTCCTCTGACCAGCTGGTGCCATAACCACACGGGGTTTGGAGGCCTCTGARGAGGTGGGAGCTGGTGGGCAGGGGCTGAGGTGGGCAGGGGCTGCAGGAGGAGAGGGGCAGAAGCAGATTGTCACCCCAGAGCTGTGGGGTGTGTGCCAGGGGGGTGTCCCTGCGCCTTTCCGGTGACAGTGGCTGCATCCTCCTGGATTTGCTGTCATCTGGACGGGGTCAGASCTGTGTGATTGTCCCCAGAGGTGATGCCTGAGGAGCAGCTCCTCCTGCTGTGCCTTGTGTTCCCTCTGTGTCACCTCCCGGGGAGCCCCACTGGGAAAGCGACACCTCTGTCCTGGTGCTGGTTGGAAAAATGTCACTTAAGTGAGGCAGCTCTGAGRAAAACCATCCCCAAATCTCCTTCTGACCCCCTGACATGGATACCCAGCCCCAAATCTCMACCTGACCCCACCTGCAGAGCCGTCCCTCCCATCCTCTCATGGCCCAGGGCTCCTTGGATCTCCTCAGCCTGCTCTGAAGCTTCCCCTGCCCAGCGTGCTTGTGGCTCTCCTGCAGCAGCCTGCAGTGGAGAGGAGGAGGAGGAAGAGGAGGAGGAGGCTGGTTTGACTTCCCTGAGCTGTCAGCAGCGAGGAGAGACGGGCCCTGCTGCAGGGTGACACCTGTGYGGTGCCGGCCACGGCGCTGGAGCTCACCAAGGTCATTCCACGCTGGATCCTAAAACCCCTGCACCCCTTCAGCCTCCCCAAAGGCTCCCGGTGCTGCCACGGGCAGGTGGGAGAAGCGGAGGAGCCCTGGGATAAGGAAGTGCCTTGCAGAGACAGCAAGAAAACACCTTTCCCCGGGGCCACCAGGTGATCCATCCTCCCACGGAGCAGCCTCACCTGCACGGGCTCACCTGCACAGCCACCCCCAGAGCTGACCCGTGCCCAGGTGACAGGTGGCTGTGCCCAGGTGACAGGTGGCTGTGCCCAGGTGACAGGTGGCCATGCCCAGGTGGCCGGTGGCCATGCCTAGGACCCCCACCGATAGCACCCATGTGCACACCCACTGTCCCCAGGTGYCACCCYGTGTCCCCAGCTGGGCCTCTCCAGGCTCCAGCCCTGCCTGCTGGTGACTCAGGGACTCAGGCTGGGCTTGTGCTGCACCTGCAGGGACAGGGAGGTGACAGGGGCAGGGCTGGGGCCGCTGCCAGCCTCGGGGCATGGCCTGGGCACCTGCTGGTACCGGGCTCAGCCCAGGTGATCGGGGCACCGGGAGCCCTGCAGGGTCCTGTGCTGCCCGTGGGGAGGTTCTGAGCCCATCTCAGTGCTGGGGACACGCTGGTGTGCTGTCCCTGCCACTGCTGGCAAGGGCTGTGCCAGGCACTGAGGAAGAGGAGGCGGTGAAGGGACCATTGGAGGGCACAGCTGTGCCCTCAGCCTGCTGCAGGAGCGGATGGCTGAGGGGCAGAAGGTCTCTGCCCCCTGTCCCCACCCTGGATCCAGCAGCTCTCTGGGATGCCCATCCTCCCAATCCTCACCTTCTGGAGCYCCYCTGGKTGYCTGGGGGCCTGCAGCTCTGTCCCCRGGCTCYGTSTCACCTSCAGTATCRGCTCCAAGTTGGCAAAGCTTGAAAAWATCATAAAATTCAGCGTTCACCATCACAGTTTTTCAACAAAGCAATTTCAGTCTCCGCACCACAGTCTGCACCAGGTGCTCAGAAACTCCTGCCCACATGGAAGGTGACCAAGAGTGACAAGTGACAAACCTCAGTTTGTCCTGCAGCGGTGTCTGCAYGTGCAGGAAGGTTGGAAAAGCCACCGACGGAGAGGATTTTGGCTCTTTCCATCTTGAAAAGCAAAGAAAAAGTGAGATCTGCGTCTAATTCCTCCGCACCTCTTGGAGAAAATGGCCCAGGAGAGATTCCCTCCTTCTTCCCACAAAATCAACGCCTTTCAAAGGAGAATCATCGCCATCACACGGCTTTTGGTCRCACGCTGAGGAGCAGATGCTGCTCCCTCCAACTGGCGGCACGGGGAAGGAGCTCGGCTCCTGAGAGCGCAAAAATAGA